CGCTTCTGGTCTGGTATATGTGCATGAGCAAGACATCCAAAAATTTTAAAATGTCTTACTACAGGCTTCTTACCACTCCAGGCCTCCTCTGGAGTCATATTTTTTACTGCTGCAGTTGGACTCCTATTTTGAATGTGCATACACCACTTCACGGCATCTGGCCAAAACATCTTAGGAACCTGTTTTCCATGCAAAACAGCTCGAACAGCATTCATAACAGTCCTATTCTTCCTTTCTGCCACACCATTTTGTTGGGGAGTGTAGGAGGCAGTCAGCTTTCTACGTATTCCTTGAAAGTGACAAAATTCTTCAAATTCTTTTGACAAGAATTCTCCACCACGATCTGTCCTGAGACAAGATATACGTGCCCCTGTCTCCTTCTCAACTCTAGCTTTAAACCTTTTAAACATGTCAAAGGCTTCTGATTTTTCATGTAAAAAATACACCCATGTCTTACGAGTAAAGTCATCAATAAAATTCAAAAGATACCTTTTACCACTGTGTGAAGCTGGCTGAATAGGACCACAAATGTCTGAGTGAATCAGCTGAAGTGGACTAGATGCCCTCCATGTGGTGTGGCTGGGAAAAATATTTTTGGTTTGTTTTCCAGTCAGGCATATAGAACAGGTCTTGCTTTGGAAATTCAATGTTGGTAGCCCAACCACCATCTCCTTGCAGGCTAGCAAATTCAGATCCTTATAATTGAGATGTCCATATCTACAGTGCCACAGATAAGCCTCCTTTTTGGATATTTCTGTATGCAAACATGTTGGTGGTTTGAGTACTAAGGTAGTTGTCACGTAAAACATCCTGTTTCCACTCATATTGGTTTGCATAATTAGTCCTCTGGTGGAGTGGAGAACTTGGCATATGCCATTGGAAATTTGAATAGTCAACCCTTTCTCTTGTAACTGACCTATGCTGAGTAAATTATTTTTCAGCTCAGGAATATAATAGACATCTGTCAAAACCTGAGATATGCCATTGATTTGCATTCTAATACTTCCTTTAGCTTCTACTGTCATATGCATGTCATTTCCAAGTTTTACTGTTATGCCAGACTCTTCCTCCAAGCTAAAGAACCACAATCTATTGCCAGTCATATGGTTATTGCATCCAGAATCAAGATACCATATACCTTCCTCATGTGCTCACTGAGATTCCGCATAAGCCATCAATAAGATCTCTTCTTCATTATCTAATTCTGCATAATTGGCTTTCTTGTCCCAATCTGGACATTCATACCGGAAGTGCCCCAATTTATGGCACTTAAAACATTCAACAGTAGCCTTATTAAATGACTGTCTCCCTCGTCCCATGCCGCGACCACCTCTGGGTGCACCGCGACCTCTGCTTCGTTGAGAACGATCATCATAAGTATGATAGACTTCCTCTTGAGTTGCCTTTAACACCTGCTCCTCCTCATGGACTTCCTGCATTCGTTGTTCACGCACTAGAAGACTTCCATGCAGCTCATCAATAGACAGTTTACTGATGTCATTTGATTCTTCAATTGCACAGACTACGTAATTAAATTTTGGAGGTAGCGAACGCAAAATTTTACTCACCACAGTGCTTTGCTCCAACACCTCTCCATTTGATTTCATTTTACTCACCACGGTCATAGTGCGACCAAGAAAACTATCCACTTTCTCTCCATCTTTCATGATGAGTAGTTCAAATTCTCGTCGTAGTGCTTGAAGTTGTGCACGCTTAACTCTTGTAGAGCCCTAATACTTCTGCCTCATAGAATCCCAAATTGCTTTGGATGTGCTTTTGTCAAGTATAGTTTCCAAAATTTCTCTATCAATAGATTGAAAAAGGAAATTCGACTCTCAAGTCTTTAAGTTTTGTCTCCTTCGCCTCCTCAACAGCCTTCTTTTGGGTCTCTTCATCTGATCCAAAACTCAAGGCAGGCGTGATTATACCATCTTCTACCAACTGCCATAGCTCCTTGTTTCGAAGAAAATTTTCCATAGTCATTGACCAAAAATCGTAATGGCCATCGAACCGTGGAATGGAAGATTGCACAAACTGTTGCTCTAGATTAGACATGATGAGATGCGCACAGACAAAAAACTTAGGGTTTTACTCAGAATGAGATAGAAGGGTTTTACTGAGAATGAGATCGAACTCCTCCCCTCTCTCTTTACTGTGTCTCTCACTTCTTCTTCTTCTTTTTTTCACACTATTTTTGGATTATCAGGCTCTTGCGAGCTCTGATACCAATTGTAGAATGAGATTATAAAATATATAATAAGTGAGAAAATATGCTCTTATTTGTTTTATTGACCAAATGCATATGACTTTTATAAAGCCAAAATACAGCAAAAATAACTAACTGACCACATTTATAGCAGAATGTGATCCCAAAAAATAAGAAAATACTTGACTAATTATTTCTTAAAATCTAGGAATAGATAACAGCAAAATACTAAACAAACCTAACAATTTTAACATTCTCAAAATTAAAGTTCGAAATACGATCCACGATTCTGCTCACGTCCTCATTATCGATCTTCATTTATGTACGTATAAATTGTTTTACTACGTTAATGAATCCTGCGATAAAAAAAACAAGTACGATTAAATATTAAGGTGCACGTGCACCTCATAATATTAATAACAATATTTTAAAATTGATTATTTTAATCCAAATGATAATTTTATAATTATTTTTTGATGATTTAATTTTAACTTATTATAGTAAATATTTAGTTCAATTTTAAATTAGTATAAAAAATAATTTTCAATGTGGGTTTAAAATTAAATCATTATGATTAAATACTATATAATTATGAAGATTGTATTAGTGGCTGCTAGAAAGCTGTTTTCTCATGCATTGACCATGGTAGTAATTTTAATTAATTTATAATATTTTAAACTAGTTTTTATATTAACTTTGTTATTTGTAATTTTTTTTAAATGTATTATGTGATTATTTATTCTAAATGTTTATGACTGGTTCTAGTATTTAATAGAATAAAATTAGTTTTATATGATAATTTAAGTTTAAGTTATTTATTTAGTTAAGTTTAAGAACAAGTCATAATAAATTTTTACGTGAAGTTACATGGTATGTATGATTCACTTTAATATTACTTTATTTAATTATTTTTTCCGAATATATAATATACATATATATATATATATATATATATATATATTTAGTGAATTTTAGTTCTTTTATTTGAGGTTATATGAAAGAATAATCTAATAGATATTTAAATTATCCTATAGGGTATAAAATAGATGATGTGAAATTTACAAATTTTTAACTCACAAACAACTCTTAGATCAAGATAATAACTAAAAAAAAGTTATATTTTGATTTTGATATCATTTATAAAAATGGTAAAATATCTAACTCAAACTTATAAAATCGATAATTAATTTAGTAGGATGAAAGCTTACTTATATGCGGTAATATTATCGTATATTTATTCATATAATTTTTTTAAACATGAAATATTAATTTTGTGTATGATGTTTTATTGTTCAATAATTTGGGAAGGTTATATATTTTTTTTATATTTCATTAATAAGTTTACTTTTCATATTAAATTTTAATATGAAATATTTTATTATAAAATACTTAGTATCAACGTGATGTTACCAAAATTTCATCAAATTTTACAAATGAGGCTTAATTTTGATAAATTATATATATATATATATATATATATATGTATATATATATATATATATATATAAAATCTTCAGGAAAGATTAACACATATTTTTTTTAAAAGTGATGACATGGAATGAGAAATACGAGAATGACATGGAATGATTCCACATCGTAGATAATAATAAAATATTTTATTATTTATGTATTAATTATTTAAATTAGAGACAAGTATAACTTGGAATTACAATAAAAATGTTGGTCAGTTTGAACAGAAATCTTTAAGTAAACCCATACATGAATTTTTGAATACTAATTTAGAAAAACTTTAGTATCCAAATTGTACAAGTTTCACACATTTTCAACATTATTGATATTGATAAATATTAAGATAATAAATGGATAAACGGATGAATATTTTCCTAAATTATTTTAACTGTTAAAAACAATATTACTAAGGGGTAATCCATTACTCGTCACTAAAAAAATTCTTATATATAATGCATTTGGAGTATAAGAAAATATTTTTTTCCTCATAAGTACAAATTATTATAAAAAGAGTTCGAAGTATTACATGAGAATATAAGATTCGAAATTTGACTCTATAAAACAAAGAATGATAATTATGATGATATAAAAAAATTCTTACAAAACTATTGTAATATATTTCAATCATTTCAAGTCCATTTGCTAAAATTAATGATATATTAAATCTTACGGGGTATACAAATAATAGAAAACATGATAGATTGTGACATCATATATCTGATTCATCAGAATAAAAAAAATATATTTGTTTTTGGTGTTTAAAAATGAGCTAAGGAACATTGAAATTAGTTTTGCATCATATTAAATAAATTCTTATATAATATAACTAACTAACATTGTTTATGATAAAGTATTGAAGTTTGTAATATGAAAATAAAATATTTAAACTATTAATAAGAATTCAAGTTACATAAACAAAATATCATATGATGGAAAATTGATGGAGGTTTCCACCATTTATTTAAATTATATTTAAATTAGTATATTTTTGTATGAAGCAATTGTAGCTGATATGTCTCAGTGTTAGTCCTAAATTTTCATGAAGGTGTCTAATAGGTTTCACTTGTTTAGTTGGTTTGTGAAATGTTTCTAAAAGACAAAGTTGGTAAATATTGTTAAATATATTCTTCTATTGGCATAGAGGCAGATGTAACCATAAGTTATAAGAGATAGTCAAATCATATACTACATCATGAACACCAGATCAAAATTTGTTACAAAAACAATCCACACTACTACATTTTACTCCCTTAAATGGTCTTGAAAGTTTAATGGCTGGATCCACAGAGAATGTATGAATAGCATTCTCATTAAAAGATGTGATCTAATAGTAATACAGTGGTGGTGGTGGTGTTATATGATAAGGATAATAGAGGGGATAGGTTTCATAAACAGGAACAGTAACTTTTGGTGGATCCACCTTCTCTTTCTCCTCTTTTGCTGGTCCAACTGAAACTAATTCTGTGTGACACCACTTTCGTAACTTGGACACTGCACACACTGGATCAATCTCACCCAGTAGCACCAATTTCATGTCTTTCATGTCAACAGATATCGATTCAATCCCTGCATAATAATTGCAATAACAAAAAAACCATGAATGGAATGATCTTGAAACAGAACAAAGGAAGTTGCAGTAGAGTGAAGAGTTTGGTGTATATATACCAGAAAGACCAGATGCTGTCTTCAAAGCTTTTCGCTTGATCTTATCTTCATGTAAGTCCATCTTTAACACTACTTTCTGTCACACAACAACATCAAGGAAGTGATAATTAAGACCCAACAATTGGAAACAAGAGAAAGTAATAAGCTGAGAGAAAAGTCAAGAAATGGAAGGTGAGGAAATAAAGGAAGATTGGTTAGATCCATATATAAGAATATAGTTCTTACCTTCATTGTTTATAAAGCTTGCTTCTGATGAGAACAGAGCTTGGTTCTAGGAATAATATAACAGATGGTTTTGATTGTATATAGTTCAAATTGAAGGAAGTTGTGAGAAGTATGTGTGAGATGGGAAGTATTTATAGTGGGAGACAAACACAAAGTGTAAGTGGAGTCAGCTTAAGTCAAATCATGCAAATAAGAACTTCAAACCGTGTTTTCTTTAAAGTTTGCCTCTTCATGGAAAGTGAATAAAGATATTATAAGAACTGTAATAATTGAAGGCTTTTTATTTTATACTTTGGGACCAGTTAGGTTGGGAAAGTATTAGTTCATGCTGCTTCGTTGTCATTTCGCGAAATGATAAGTATGATTAACACATATACCCCGAAACTTCGTAAATGTTATAAGATGGTAAAAAAAATTGTAATAGGAGATATTTACCGGTAAATCAGTTAAAGATATCAAATAGATACTTGTAAAAAATGATAATGAGTATTTTAATTATTTACTTATTAATTAAATGGAGTTGGATATCAACTCATATATACCCGTTAATAATTTTTATTTTATATTTTCTAAAATAAAAGTATTTATAAAAAAGCATTAATTATTAAAGAATTTATAAATTTATATTTTTATCTAAATTTATAAAATTAAAATTAATTTTTTAAAATAATATTTTATTTAAATTTATATTTTATACTATAACTTATTTGAAATAAAAATAAAAGAAAAAAATGTCTTATCTCACATAAATATTCACTTTTATTGTGAATAATTAATTATAGATATTTAAAACTATGGAAGAAAAAGCAATTTAAATATTTATCTTGTTATTTATGTCAGCTACAATTAACATATTAAAACTCTAAATAATGAATGAAAAATTAACATTAAGGTGGTGTTGTGTGATGAACACAAGGAGGAAGGTTTTTGGGATTCCAATGATGATGCATGGAGGTTCAAAGAGAATGTTTTGGACTGGGGGCCAAAATTTTATAAAAGAGGGATGGAAAGTATAAATTATACAAGATATAAATGTTAGGCAAAACCATATTTACATCTTATAGGCTTTAAGATGCATTATAATATTTAAATTAGAAAATATATATGTATAATTTTATTCCAAAATATTATAAAAAAAATTATATGAAAGAAATCTTGCATAAAGTAAAGATAAGATCTATTTATAATATTAGTGAAATATAATTTTTACTTTTTTTAAACTGAGATCAATTGAACAAATTTCAAAAGTGCCTAATTGATAAATTGCCTTAATTTTGTTGCTGCTCACAACACATAAACAATTTTCTATTTTGTATGATCAAATGATTATCACCCCTATTATATATATTATTAAGCTTTAATATTAATATAATAAACATAAATTTATGTTGAAATAACTCGTCTATTTTTAGGTTTTTTATTTCTAATAAACAAAGTTTGTAATGAATTTTTAAAACCATCACAACCAGAGATTATGTAGAAGAAAAATCAACTTTAATATATAAAAGATCGTTTATGAATAAGAATTATAGAGAATAACGAGTAAAAAGAAGCAAATATATTCTTTCTTCTCTGATTTGTGTTAAGATTTTTCTTCTTCCAATACCTTCTTCTTTTCTAGTGGTAGTGATGATGACAATGAGGAAATGAATTTTTCCTTCTTCTTATTTTTTTTTTTTTTTCTATCAAGTTAGTTTTTTTGGTATTTCATTTTGGATTTTTCTGGTTGTTTTTTTCATGTCTTAGTTTCTCTATTTTCTTTCCAAAAGCACAAAATAAATAGAAAATCAAAATAATATTAAATGTTAATTCTCAAATGAATGTTATAAGAGTGATAAAGAAGAAAAAAAAAACATTATGAAGATCTATATTATTATTTGTCTAGTTGAAGCTATTGAAAAAGACGGAATCTCACACTTAGATAAACTTAAGGAATATACTATTTTATTTCATGTGCCCAAAAAAACTCTCGCCATCAATGTCACTTAATAAAAAAATTATCACGCAATAAAGATGAAACCATAGAAAAAATATAAAATAAATTTTGCATTGAATTATACGGATGTAGTATAAAATGAATTATTTTAATTTTACAAATGTTAGTGCGTTTTTAATGTTAAATATTTACTAATATGACAAGAAAGAAATAACATTAAAAAAACATATATTACACCAGTGTATTATAGATTAATATTTATCATTTTTTTTAGATGAGAAATTAAAAAAAATGAAATCATAAATTTCTGTCTAAAATAAGGTTATTATTTTGTGACTCGAACATTTCACTATTTTCAATTGGATAATGATTTGTACCAATGTGGTTAAAATAAATAAACCTTTCCACTCCTACACTTATCATCACTCAACTAAATTTCACGCATCTACACTATGCTTGAGGGGTGTATCAGAGACGATGATAAATCAGAGACGATGATAAATTATCAACGAAACAAGAAGTTTTAGGAAGAAACATTTCCCTCTTAAATTTTATTTATATGACAAAGTAACGCATCAATTTGCAAAAAGGTGATTTTGACAACTCAAAACTTGAAACCTATACTATAAAAGTAATTACTTTTAGCAATACAACGGTGGTCTCATATCTTAATAACGATAATAATAAAAAGGGTATGGGGGGTGATATTCAATAACAGGTGCTTTTGGTTGCTCCACCTTCTTCTCCTCTTTTGCTGGTCCAACCGAAACTAAATCTGTATGACACCATTTTCGTAGCTTGGACACTGCACTCACTGGATCGATCTCACCCAATAAAACCATTTTCATGTCTTTCATTTCGACAGAAATTGATTCAATCCCTGCAAAATGATTGCAGTTACAGTTAAGTTATATACGATTGAATTCTGGAAACAAAAGCAAGTTGCATGAGTGAAAACCTTGATACATACCTGAAAGGCCTGATGCTGTCTTCATAGCTTTTCGTTTGATCTTATCATCATGTAAATCCATCTTCAACACTACTTTCTGTCACACAACAAACAGGGTGTTAATTACGACCCAACAATTAAATTTACGTCTGAAACATGAAATTGAAGGAAAAGTAGAAGCCCAAGTGAAACTTGAAATGGAAGGAGATAAAAGAGAGTGGTTTGATCTCTATACGAGAGTTTAGTTCTGACCTTCATTGTTTTCAGAGGTTGGTTGTGATGATGAGAGCTAAGTAAGCAAAAATTGTTTGATGAGAATTGCGAAGGTGGGTGAAGAAGTGAACCTGAGTTGTAATATAATGACTGAGTTTTTAAGCAATATTTATGGAGGAATGATAACGTGTGTTGAGAGAGGTAGTCAAGTCAAGTCAACTATATAATATGATACGTCCCACAAACTTTATTACAAATATGATTTTTTATGCAATTCACACGGTTCAAACCGAGTCATCATTGAAATTTCGCGTAGCCATGAAAGTGATGGTAACCTTACGTTCCGGTAACCAATTAGGATTTTATAAAAATAAAGATAATTTAAAGTTAATATAATATTATTAATTGAAGTAGTTGAATATATATTTGTTGAAAAGTGGTTGTCAATCTTTTTACATAACAAAATTAGAATAAGTCACTTAACATGAAAACATGACCATCCACGATATGAAATCAGTATAAATTAGTGAGAATTTCTTACTTATATATTATTGAATTATTTTATTTTTATTTAAGTTAATGCTCTAACTAATAATTGAACACCAAGAATAACGGGACACTTTTATTTAAATATTTGTGACATTTTAAAAGAGTAGCCATAAAACTACTAATTCTTTAGAGACGATAAAACCGTAGTTGTTGTTGACTCAGACTAGTTGACTTCATTCCCGTGGACCGTTTCCACGCCAACGTGCTTGTAGAGTTTGTTAAGAAAGTTTATTTACAAATATCGAGTTTTTTCATAAATATTTCTAATGGAAAATATAAAAAATAAATTGAACTTTTGATAAATTAAAAATGAAGGTATAAAAAAAATATAAAAACTACAAGGTAATTTTTATATAAAATTAAAATGGTTAATTAGTGAAAGCGGTGGTAGAAGGAGGAGACTGCCACCAACCTATAAAAAAGAAAGAGAAACTGTGGTAACCACAAAACCCGAAAAAAAAAAAAAAAAAAAGACAGTTTCAATATTTCCCCGTAGATAATAATCTTGATTATTAAGAAGATACAGAATGTAATCATGATATAATAGAGGTGTTCAATTACGACCTACGGAGAAAGAGTATAAATGATTGCATGAAAACCCTAATAAAAAAATAAAGAAATTACAGCTCTCTTTCTTTGAAAAATATACACACAACAAAAGCAATAATACACTATATCAATTTCTTAAATAACGTAAATATATATTTTATTGGTTACTAAAAAATCCATGTCATATATATATAAATTTTTTTAATAATAATGGAATAAGTATCTATCATGTCGATTTTTAAAATAACCAACATAAATATGCATTTATTTTATTTATGAAAATGTCATTGATTTATTTTGATGATTTTGCTACAATAAATATAATAAGAGCAATATAAATTCGTATTTTTGAGTGTTTATTTATTCAACTAGTTTAACGTACATAACTTAATTTTTTATTTATTTTTTTAAAATATTTTGTATTGATCTTAACAATATATAGTATTATTTTAATTTCAATTTTTTTATTAGATTCTATTATATCATATTTTATTATTTTATTTATTATATATCAAGTTTATATTAATTAAATAATTATATTTTAAATTATTGACATTTTTAAGTGATTATAATTAAAGTTTTTATTATTTTATACTAATTTAATAAAATAAAATAATTTATTTATTTTTATAAATTATATATTGTATATTTATTAATATTAATAAATTTAAAAATTAATTAACATAATTACAAGTTTGAATTTATTATTATAATATATAATAATAATAATAGTCTTATAATTATTTCATATTCATACGAAAAATAAATATTTTTATATAAAAGTAATAAATTAAAATATATATTTAATTAATAATTATTATTATTATAAAATTATAAATATTTATTTATATATAAAAAGTAATATTAAAACTTATTTATCATAATTTATGTATAATTGTTTTAAACAAATTATATAAAATAGAGAGAAGTGAAAAAGTAAAAATTTTGAAAAGCTAATAAAGATGAAAAACAATGACATAAATCAAGATCAGGATGTGTAAAAAAGTGCCTTGGCTTCCACCAAATATCAAGTCAACCATAGCCAACATAATTAATGTGTACACAAGTGGATTGAACAAAATCCCTGGTAAGACCAAAATAAAAGGACGTGTAAAAAGTAAAAAAAAAAACATAATAAATTTATATTTTGATTATTAAAAACTAGAAAAAAGGTGTATTATATTTTATATTTTCTTGTTGTTTTAATAATTATTTTTTTGTCATGAACATCTCCTCATTAATATCAATTTAATTTTAATAATTAAAATGTGCTCTTATAAGTTTCAGCAAACTATTACAAATAGTGTTTTCAATAATTTTAGAAATTAAAAAATATAATAGTTAATCAACAATTTTTACGGAAAGAATAGGTAAGAAACAAGATTAGAGTATCAGAATAAAGTCGCATTGGGACGATAAAAAAAATAATGGAGTTCTCAAAATATTTATTTTCAGTTAAATATTAACAAATGTTTAAAAGAAAAAAAAGTACGGAAACAAATTTCAAATTCAGTGGATTATAAAAAAGATTATTAATATCCTATATTATTCCTTCTAAAAATATATAGGATTTTTTTATCTTGATAAAGATTATAGTTGTTCTTACGTATCTGAATAAGCAAAAGTTACCCCATTTTTTTTAATAGGAAATAGCTGTGAAGAATAATTTTTAATTTTAGTTTAATTATTTTTATAACATTTAAATTATAATTATGTCCAACGTAATTATTATTTTTGCATATATAACTAAATTAAAAATATATTTAATATGTTTATATGGAAATTAATTTCAGGTTCAAGAAAATAGTCGTATAATTTATTTTCTTTTAATGATTTATTGAAATAGAGAATTTGAACAAAAAAAATTATGAAATAAGTAAATTTTGTTGTAATAAAGAGACAAGTCTTCCTATCTCAAATTCATTTGTGAGAAAGTAAGTGATTGAATAATAAATATTTAAATTGATCTCGTTAATTTTATAAATAAATATCTTATTTTATTTTATAAGAATAATTTAATTATTACATTAAAAATATTATTATTTAATTATCTTATATTTAATCACATTACTTAAATTTCTTCATATTCATTATTTTTTCTCTTAATCCAAACCATCTCATAATCAAATAAACTCAAATTCATTTTTTCAAATCATCACCCCAATCGAAATATAAGTTTAATTAAAAGAAAAATATTACAATAATAATGGCATGATATAATTAAATTTTAAAAGAGTTTAATTTATTGAGATGTTATAATAATAAATACCTTCTTATACACTTATAAGATGCAAATTTACAGAATGAAAATTAATAAAACACTTTGGAAGTACCAAATTCAAGTAAAATTGTCCTAACCAAGAATTTAAATACCGCAAACGAAATTTGAATGTATAATATAAAAATCTAAATTACAAAAACAATTATCTTTCTATAATTCTTTTACTTCTTAATACATTAAATTTTTATTTAAAAACAACTATCATGCCTAATAATTGAAGTTTGGAATCTCAATTGCACCTAAAAATTTACTTCACTAAGCTCTCCTTCTTCACATGTGCCCACCCTTATAGACATAGTTCTGTTTTTTCGTGTTGGTAGAACCCTACAACAATCTCTTCTTGGTGACTGCAAAACCAAAATTTATGTTGAATCAATAAGAGGGTTCATTTCCTGTATAAGAAGATTTGTTTAAAGTTTATTAGAGTGGTATGAAAACAACATTCTTACCCTTTGCCAACGAAGAGGATCTGGTCTTTTAGAAACTATAATGGTATCAATTTTCTCAGGTGATGGCGATTTGGATGTGCAAGGAGGGGGCTTAATCTTGTAACGAGAATAAGTACCAAAAATTTTCTTCCTAACTGGATCATATCGTGTTCTGTTCATGTAGAAAAGGAAAGCTTTCTGACAAGGGTCTGTGGTGACAGGTCTGGTGTTGAATGAGTATGCAGTGTAATCAGCTTTTTTGTACCAATTTAAAAAGGTTCGTGTTGGCTTCTCTAACTCTCTGGGGGACACTTCTCCCCTCAGAACCTGAACCACAAAGCCCCATGAAATAGAGATGGACCAAAATCTCTTTTTGTCATAGCAAATTGATTGCTGCATTACGCTACCTGAGTCTTGCTTAACAGATTTCATCAAGTGTCGCAGGGATTGTACCCGGTTCATCATTGGGAATATTGGTTGCACCAGATCAAGGTGGTGTAATGTCATTAATGGAGTCACAGGATGTGCCCCCAGAAGACCTAAGAGGTCCCCATACACATCATACTGCACAAGAAACAGGTCAATTTCAACTCCTTGAAAAAAAATAGAGAATCAAAATCACCCAAGACTTTGTAGATAAGATCATGACTTTAAACTAGACTTATGAATATATTAAAATTTATTATGATAATTTTTAATGATATTATCATAACGAATTAATAATCGAAAATATTTTTATTCTTAGACAAAATATTTATCCATCAATATTATTTTTGTGGGACAGTGAGTGAAACTGTTAATGAAAAAAATTTAGAGAAAAAAATTAATCAAAAACCATGATAATATAAACTGAAATAAATAATTACCTGATGAAAGCCAAGTTCCTTAGTTATTGGCACCCCTAACTCAGCCATGCAAGCTTGCATTCTATCATCACTTCCATACAATGCAGGATATCGTTGAATGCAACGATCTTGCATCTTTGCAAGCTCCTTTGCTAAGGGGTAGCTTATGGCAAATCCTCCTCCACCATATGCCATAGCATATGAGAAATGAATGTTCTGAACATGGCTCTCAGATGAACTACCAACATAATAGAACTGAGTATGATCATATTTTGAAAGAATTCTAACCACATTATCCACAATAAATACAGTGTCATCATCTCCCATCATGAACCATCTTACATTCTTCATTCCAAGCTTCAATGTTTCTGTAACCACCCTTGAAATCCTCAATGCAGATCGTTGCCCTTGACTATTAGTATATTTAAATTTAGTGGTGTCCTCAGAAATTCGAATCTGTGGTAACCCTTCGTTTGCCTGAGTCCTTACTTTGGTATCTAACCACACCACCCCTCTTGTTTGATTAGGCTTCCACCATACCTTAATGTATTCTTTTCTTGTATCCCACAAATTTGATGAAGCCGCTATCCCAAAAACAATGTGTTCAACCTTGGTGTCTTGTCTTTGAGATAACTCATCGTAGGGTATATCTTCTTCTTCTTCTTCTTCCTCTTCATTTTTATCTTCATTGTTTGCAGTTGAGGAAATGTTACCACTCATTTCAAGTTGTTCTTGGGAGGATAAACTCATGGAGGTGGAACAATCTTTCTTGGTCCTTGTCAAGAGAAGAAAATTGGAAGAGTAAAGGATGGATAACACAATCATGATTATAAACAACCAAGTGATGATGAGTTTCTTGGAAGAAGAGTACATTTGATTCTTCCAGGTTCTTGAATTCCCCAGGTTGTTGCTTTACTATATTTACTCAGAAGTGTGGAAATGGAGAAAGGTGATAATGGAAAAGACATTCAAACTCAGAATTGTTCGGATCACCCTAAAGGAGAGAGAATAAGAGGATATTATTATGTTTGTGTTTCTAAGCAAAGGTTGTTGTGACACGCGAAGTTAAATGCGGTTAAAATGGACACAGTGTTTTCAATCAGCGGTGAAAAATATATGTTGTAATAGGATACATCATAACATCGTATATATAACTAAAACCAATATGAATTTGATTCAATATAATTTTCTTTTTAAATCAGGCGGAAACAACAATTTTAAACGAAGAGAAAACCTATACAAATAAATATATTATATAAAATTATTAAAAAATTTGAACTAATTAATTTAAAATTGAGGAGAATAATTGTCTAAATTATACTTATCCATAAAAAACTAACGAGACTCAAATGATATAAATGCTCTACATATTTCATTTTATTGATTAACAAAATGAATATAAATATGTAGACCGTCTTTTAGATCATATAAATATGTAGACCGTCTTTTAGATCATATACCAAAATATTAATATTAATTTTGTCACGTTTAATTTTCATAATTTTAAAAGAAGATTGTTGAATAGATTAATAAAACATAAGTTACTCTACAGTATTTTTAACCTTAGTTGTTTTTCTTGAAAATTAAGTTTATAGTTTTCTTCTTAAACATATTTATTTAAATTTCAACCGTTTTGTTTTTTTAATAGAACATAGTAAAATATTAAAATAATTAATTAATTTATAACAAATAAACAATTTTACTTACTGTTCTTTACTTCAAGAAAATGTGTAAGATATCTCCTAGAAAATAAATATAAAAAAACTATTATTGTACACTCTTTTACAAATAACAGTTCACAAAAAATTATGTAAGTATATGAATTCAATGTCATATTGTATTATGACTTTTTTTGTTTTTTAATCAAAGTCATCCTTTGATTCATTTTTCTTATACTAAATATTAATAAAAAAATGTTTTAAATAATATTACTTTCCCAAAATTAAATTTCTATAAATAGTTTTATGTTGTATACATTTCATGATAATTTTCCCTTCAAAATTGGAATGCTTTCATATTTATTTTGAATGGCTACACTCAAATAATTCAACTTTAATTACCATAAAGAATAACGTGGCATGAGAGTTATTCATGTTTTTTTTCATATCAGAGATATATTTCACCTCGCATATCATTTAATAACTTTACTTTAAAAAATTAAAATTTTTATATATCAAAAGATATTCATGGGAGCAATTTATGAATAATAATATTTTATTATCTCTTTAACGGCAGAAACTAAATATCGTTTGGTTTAACTTTAAAAAATATTAAGAAATGAGGTTTTCTCGGATGGATTCTAGTCAAATTCCCACAAAAACATTGACATGTGAGAATCTAACTTTTTAAAATTAAAATAAAAAAAGTATCATATTACCAAATAAAAATTTGGTAAAATATAACATATTAATACTTATTGATTTCAAGAAATATTTATGTAAATATAAATTTCTATTAAAATTTGATAAATGTCTCAATTCTAAAGTGGGATCAATTGTATATTATAATTTGACATATCTCTGATATGTTAATAATATTTTTTTATTAACTTAATATATTTTAGACGATGTTAAGAATCATAATATCCCGTATTCATGAATCATAAGAATCATTTCGGGTATAAAAAAACTCATATCAAACATCTCGTTAACGTTCATGGAATATGAAGTTCTGATAATTTAGGAAATTTTTTATCAAAATTATGTTAATCTTTTAAATATAGTATACAGTGTATAAATTATCCCTTCAAATTTTAAATTTCTATGAAGAAATAACATGAATTATAATTAATAATAACTACGTGACAAAATAAAAACTAATAATAATGATAAAATTAAATTTTTGAATTAAAGAAAATAAAATTACAAAACTAAAACCAAAACTAAAAATGGAAATTTTACAGACAAAATTATATATATACATTGGTGTGTTATATTTAAATTTTAAACATCAAATAAAAAAATAAAATATAAAAACTATTCGACGTGATTGAGAATTTAGTGTCCCATTAATAGATGATGATTTGCATAATTTTGTATGAATTTGGGACGTGATTTTGATTTAACTTCTTTACAATAAAGTTGAAAATGGTAATAAAATCAAGTCCATGCATGGAGTTAATATTTTTAAAACTAAATCACTGGAATCACTGAAAAGAATGATTGAAAGTTTAATGGTTGAACTAGAATCAAAATGTTAATAAAATTATTATAATAACTAAATAATATTTAAATTTTAATATTATAATTGTATTTTGTTAAAAATTTGAAATGAAACGTATTTACAGGTAATTAACATTTAAAACATATAAAAAAAATGTTATCATTCCTAAATTAAAGTTTCAACCATATTCGTGAATAATTTAAATATGGAATAAATATGTATATGGACTAGGATATTATTGTTGACATTGATTTCTCTTGTATTTGTGCAAGTATTTAAAGCTTTGAAGTGTTGTGTTAGGATGTGATAACTTGTATCGATCAAGAATCAGAGATGTGGATTTGGAAAGGAAAGCAGAAGAAGGAGGAGGAGGAAGAGGGGGGGTACGAATGTGAGAAATGTGGGAGAAAGTTCAACACGAAACATGGTGTAAAGATTCACAAGAGCATCCATGATTTTCCTCCTAATCACTTCAAATGTGATTATCCTAACTGTGGTCGATCTTTTGATTCTAAATCGCTCTTATCTGCTCACAAGAAGAACCATCGTCGTGCTCCTCATGACTTTGATCTCAACAAACCACCCAAGTACCAGTGATTGTTCTTCTGTTACGTTTCGGAATCATTTTGCTCTTCTTTTATGTTCTGGGGAATTTAGGGTTTTATTAATTTACTTTATATGCCATTGTTCTTTAGTTTTTGAATTATGATTTGAATAAAGTTTTATTGGTTAATGAAAATTCTTACTTTAGTCTATATGTATCTTACATGAATTTTTCATACTTATTCTGATCAACAACAACCACAACATAATTCATTATTTAACTGCTCATGTTTAATCAACTATATAATTGATTATGTTCTTTTTATTATTATTATCAATGGAAATGAAAATAGAGAGTGCATCTACAATTTCTTTTTTATTTTCTTAAATGTATTTTGTTTTCTCTTGCTTGTTGACTTTGTTATAATTGTTAATTCATGAACATGTATAATTACTTTCATCCGAAATTCAACCTCTGAAATGAGTTCAATCAAAAATTTGTTCAAACATAGCAACGTTGCAGGGTTTACATGTATGACCCTCATTTAAGGAATCGGTTTGTTGTCACGCTAGCTTGTATAGGATGGTGTCAAAATCGCGTTGCTCTAAACCCCGTAAAAATAGATTAGGTTAAGTTAAAAAGTTTTTTACCCTAAATCATATCTATTTTTCATTTTATTTATTTAGATGATGATATTTTTATATAATAATAATAATTAATTTTTAAATAAATATAATATTATTTAATATATATATATATATATATTATAAATAAATTTGACAAAAAATTCACTTATTAAAATTTTAATAATTATTTATTCCAAAATCTAATAATTAAAATTATTACTATTTTAATTAATAAATTACAAATAAATAAATAATAATAATAATAATAAATAAATTTTTAATTTAAAATTAGATAAATATATTTTCTTATAATTTATATATTAAATTATTGTATCTTAAATAAAATTGATTTCATTAATAAAATTTAAATTTTAAAATATTTTTTATTTTTTATTTAAATATTTTTTAAATTAATTGATTTAATATAAATATATTAATATATTTTTTAAATTTTAATCAACTAAATTTAACCCATTAATCCTTTTACCTAACCTAAAATTAAATTCAATTAAAAATTTTGGTTTATTTTAAAATATAAATCAAACTAATTCATGTAATTTTTTTACTTCAGCCGTAAAGCCAGCAACTGGGTCATCCATCTGAGAGCACTAATATCAATCAACATATTTCATTTCCAGAACATACAAGTTTTTTTTTTCATGCAGATTAACGTAAATGAATGGAAGTAAACATGAATGTTTCTCATCAAATTCGTTTTTTTTAATAAAAAACACGTAGAATCGAACTTGTTAAAGAGTTTTGTGATAATATTCATATTAAGGAACGAAATTTTCAAATAAAGAGTGAAGAGCAAAAATTAATTGGATTATTAGATATAAATTATATTTAATTAAGTAATAAAAACAAATAATAAAAGTTATAACCATTTGGGTTTTCATATTAAAATTTGTTAATTGTTCATTAATATTTTCTATTTATTTAAAAAAAAGTTATCATCAATGTATATTATATTATATATAAATGAGATCTCTTTTTTTAACTATTTTGTTGTCATTAGTATAATAATATTTTTTTATCAAATATATCATTATATAAAAAAAGGACTTTTTAATAATGATTAAAATGAGAAATAATATAGAAAAATAGCTATTATAATATTATACACATTTAGAAAATAATAGAAAGTTAATTAAGAGAAAATAAAAAGTGTAATATATAGATACACAACATATATAATTAAATTAACATTGTAAAAGTAAATGCATTTTTATTTCTCTTACATTTATTTATATGAAATTTTGATCTTTATAAAAACTTAATATATAATATCATTAATTGTTTTTAATTTTCTTAAAAATTAAACAATTATAATTCAGCATAATATATAATTTTAATATAATTTCATTATAATATGTTTTAGTAAAATGAGTAACCAACACTACAACAAATATTAGTGTTACTCACGGACATAATTTACCAGAAAATACGAAATTTCATTGTAATTAGATATTACTAACAAATTTTCAGCGGCACATTATCTCTCGGTAATATTGGTGTTGGGAAAAATTACCTACGACCATAATTTGTCAAAAAATACGAAATTCAACGGCACATTATCTATCGGTAATATTATTGTCGGGAAAAATTATCAATGAACATAATTTATCAAAAAATACAAATTTCATCCATAATCAGATATTATAGCCGAATTATGGCGACATATTATCCATTGATAATATTGTTGTAAGAAAAAATTATCGACGGATCACTATAAGAAATTTTAATATTATCGACGGTCAAAATTCGTTGGTAATTTTCATTTACCGACGAATTTTCAACGGCCAAAAATCCATAAGAAATTTGATGGTTGGTAAATATTACCGATATATTTAATAGTCCGTCGGTAATTATCGACGGTCGCTAAATGTTTTATGAAATTACTTGACGGACGAGAATCAGTCGATAATATTTTTATTATTTATTATTTTCTCCTATTACATTTTTAAAGCCGTTAATTATTATTAGATTAAGAAAATTGTTATTGACGAGATTCGAACCCTTAGAGTTAGAGACTCGATACTCCAACTACTAAACTACAGAATTGTTTGGTAATAATTTACAAATAAATTATATTTATATATTTATATATTTATATATTTATATATTTATATATTTATATATTTATATATTTATATTTTATATATTTATATATTTATATTTTATATATTTATATATTTTTATTTTATATATTTTTATTTTTTTATATTTTTATACATATATTTATATATTTGTATATAATTAAATATCTTTATATATTTTTATATATTTATATATAATTAAATATTTATTTTTTAAAATTATTTAATTTAAGAAATTATTATAAATTAATCTAATTATGATTAAATTAAATTATTAAATAAAAAATATTTAATTTTTTAATTAGGTGAATATTTACTAATTGTTAATTTACCAACGGAAATATCCGTTGGTAATTTACGAATGAATTTACCGACGGATATATCCGTCGGTAAATTCATTTGTAAATTACCGACAGATCTACCGATGGATATATCCGTCGATAAATCCACTCGTAAATTACCGACGGATATATCGTCGTGTAACTAATTATTATTTTACTGACGGATATATCCGTCGGTAAAATCAAATTCCACAAATATTTTATATCCGTCGGTAATACGCGATTTTCTTGTAATGGATTTTACAAATCCATCGGTAATTATCAACATATATATATATATATATATATATATATATGTAGATATCATCGATAATTACATACAAATGCTAATCCGACAATAATTACGGATGCTAATCTGATGATAATTAGTGACGAGATATATCTAAAGATAAAATTATATGTGAGAGTTGTGTTTTATCGGAAGATATCTTCGTCGGGTCAAATCTTTTGATAATTACCAACGAATGTGTTGATCGATAAATTATTTGTATCATTTAACAACGAATTTTTTTGTCGATAAATTTGTCAGTAAATGTTAATCATTTTTTAAAGAGCATTGTTTTGTTCCCTTACCCAGAGATCTGCATAAGATATAATATGTATATTCATATCCAAATCCAGTTAAACAAATCCAATCCAAATGCACTTCCAGTTCAACAAATCTAATTTAGTATATTTGAACAAAATATAATACAAATTATTCATCATTAATATCAAATAAAATACAAATTGTTCATAATGAAATATAAAAAGTCTTAGTGTAGTTATGAAATGGAAAAAAATAACTACTTAGAAACTCAAATATAAAGTGTTTATATTATTTAAACAAATAATAATACTAAGAATAGTCAAGAGAATATTATTATGTGTTGTCTTCTTGTTGTGGGATGTACTGTTGTTGTTGGTTGTTTTCTTCTTGTTCAGACTGATGTTGTTGATTATATTAGCTTTGTTGATGCTGTTGAACGAGGGACTATGCATTGGGAACTATACCATAAGTGACTGAAACTCTCGAAATTGATTCTCTAATTGTTCATTGTGTTTCTTTGTTCGACGAATCTCATCTTCTTGTGCAGATAAACGTTGTCTCAATTTATTTATCTCTTATAAATCTATTGAGGAGCTGGATGGTGGAGTTTGATGTTTAAGACTATCAGACTCATCGTAGCTAGTAATCATGACCAAGTTGTCCAACTCCATATAGTCTACCCTTATTTTTCCCACCAACTATGTCCACTTAGCATCGAGATCTAATAACATCATTATGTGTCGAGTCTGCCTGAATAGACTTAATTTCCCCAACACAAGATGCAAAAAATGACCTAGCTTATGAAATTCTAGTATCAAATTCTTCGTACAGTTTGATATGTCTCTTTCTTTCTCTAGTTACAAGTCATATTCTTTCTTATGAATATAATTATATTAAAACAAAGATAATAGCATGTTTTAGATAATAAACTATTAGATAAAATGAATTCTCAATTCAAGGTGTGAGTTTATTTTCCTGCATCATAATTTAATAAGCTCCTCTACCATCAAATTCCAACCAAATCCTCATAACAGACAAAGTAGGCAACTAACTTAGAAATTACCTAACCTTACACATATTAATTATAGTTTTTAGGAATGATGGCCTAACCCTGCACACATTGCACATAAATAGATAATGAAATAAATATTTTCCTGGAAAAGTTTGGATTTTATTGAAGGGGAGCTAAACAATTATAAAAGAGAAATTAGGTAATAATATGAAACAATGGTACAATCCAATCTTGAAGGAAGTTAGTAATAGAAGCGTATTACCTTCGATTATTGGAATCAAGGAGGAACTGTGGAACAAAGTTCCCTAAGGCTTACACATGAAAAACCGATAAGCATGAAACAATTATTATACACAACCAAATGACATAAATACAACATAAATTTATCAGCACAAATAAACAATCACAGGTCTAGCCATAGATGATTATCCCTATTAATAATGGTT